CAAATCAACCTGCATGGCACCATTGGTCTTATCTAGTAGACCATAAGAAGGGCAATCTCGTGTATAGTTATCATCTTGACTATTTTGCACTGTGAGAAAGTGTTGTCTGATGACATACCTATTTTTGAACAAAGTATAATGAGACAACAGTGACCGTTATATGCAACAATAACTATCATTTCACACAATTATATTCCTGATTTGTTCTACGTTCAAGGAAAAATCAGTTGTACCAGACTAATGATTGTGGAGCAAATATGTGCAGGCCCTTGACCTGATTCGGGACCGAAACTTCAATATGCTCTTAGACTCATGTTTAGAGGGTCAATTTTCAAATGAGGAAGGAACAGAAATGGTGCGATTAGCTTCAAGGTGCCTTCACTATGAACCCCGTGAGCGACCTAATGTCAGATCACTTGTGCAAGTATTGACTCCTCTACAGAGGGATGTCGAGGTGAATACTTTATCTTTCTATTGTTAGCATTCTTGAATTCAGGTTTGCATTATCTAGCACTATGTTGAGAAAAGTATGCAATGGGTTTGAGGGCCATTTCAGTCATTGTCTTCAGATAGCCCGTTCATTAAATCACCAGACATTGTGTTCAGCATTTAGTCCGTTCCTAATTTAGCCTGACAAAATAATTGAATTGCGCAACAGGTAATTTCAGTCCTGTCTAATCCAGGCCATTTCAGCCCATCTGAAGATAATGCTTTGACATCCTTGTTGACAATGTTTAAATCTTTTACAGACTCCATCTTATGTGCTGATGGGCATTCCGCGTGGTGGTGCATCTTCTATCCAACCATTGCATCTTTCCCCTCTCGCTGAAGCTTGTTCCAGAAAGGATCTGACAGCAATACATGAAATTCTAGAAAAGACGGGCTACAAGGATGATGAGGGGACTGCAAATGAGGTTCATTTTATTTATTTATTTTCTTTAGAGGTTTAATGACATTGTTTGTTCATATACAACATTATCAGATACATTCAAACAAGCAAACCATTATGATATTTTTTCACAACAAAACATAGATAATACTTGCCGGTAGTCATTCTGATGCATATTAGATTCGTAGTCTCCCACAACAACTTTAGTTCATATGCAGATACTCTAAATACTTGCATAATCAAAATCTTATCTTACATTTCATGATGTTCATTTGGTATAGTTGCATTTAAAAGCCCTTCGTATGCTATTTAATCTCAATCGCACAGATTACGTTGTGCTGGAATAATTTTTTGGGGTTCATCATGTGGTCTGAAATTTGACGTTTCTACCATATATTTTTCAGCCAAATTGTTCATATTTGCTACTATGTCATCCTCTTTATACCTTTTTTTTTTTTTTGCTCCAGCTCTCGTTTCAGATGTGGACAAATCAGATGCAAGATACATTGAACTCAAAAAAGAAGGGTGACAATGCTTTTCGACAGAAGGATTTTACTACTGCCATTGATTGCTATTCCCAGGTTTGATGTGTTCTGCTCTTTTATTTTATATGGATGTGACAGAGATACTGGAGTTGCATGATTGAATGTGGTTAGAGTCATATAGGTTCAACGTCTTCCAATTTGTTCCCTATATTAAGACACTATTGGAAAATAGCTATGCAGCACGGATACGGATACTCCGAGGAGCATCGGACACGTATCCGTATCCGATACGTATCGATACGCGATACGCGCTCCCAGTGACGTATCCGTGTAACATAGGAAAATAGCTCTGGGCTACATACGCTAAAAGTATTGCTGTTCATGATTACATTATAACAGGCATATTGCAGTTACCTCAAGGCTGCTGTTGACCCGGTCTTTTCTAATTGTTCTTTATCATGCAGTTCATTGAAGTTGGTACAATGGTTTCTCCAACCATTTATGCTCGACGCTGCCTGTCATATCTGATGAATGGCATGCCACAGGAGGCATTGAATGATGCAATGAATGCTCTGGTAATATCTCCGACATGGTCAACAGCATTCTATCTTCAGGCAGCAGCACTATTATCACAAGGCATGGAGAATGAAGCCCAAGAATCTCTCAGGGATGGTTGTAACCTAGAGCAAAGTAGCAGTGGTGGACATTGAGTGTAAACAAATTTGTAGTCCCCAAAATGCACATAATTTCAGGTATATATACTTTTTAGAAGTCCCAATGTCTTACTAAAGAATTAAGTACTACTTTTCTGTTGGGATCTATACCCTACTTTCCATATCATGCAAATAGCCTGCTAATCTAGGATTTCATGATGAGGGTGTGGCTAGAGTTCCATTTCTTGTTTTGGGTTTAAAAATTAGTAACCTTGGTAACTTCTCGTCCTGTTTTGAGTTCTGAAGTTCAGTTCAGCGATTGGGTTTCTTGGACATTTTGAGTTCTGGAGTCTGGATTTTGTAATCTAAGTAGCTAGTAAATGTACTTTATATACTCCAAAACTACATGTTTTTGTGACCAGAGGAAGTATTTAGCAAGATGGGATCAAATGGGGAGTCTATGGCCTTAAACCAGTTCTTTGAGAACTAACTGATACCAGCCCAGTTTCAGTTTTGGCTGTTAAGGATAAAAGAACTGGCTGTGGCCTGTGGCTAGTTCCCGGTGGTTTTTGAAACCTGAGCTGCTGAACTGTCATACCTGACTTTTGCTCTGCAGCATTGTCCCGGAATCCCAGGGATCTCAGAGTCTTTATTTTTTCTTCTATTGGCATGTTTGGATTATGCTAGTTGCTTGAAACAGTACTGAAGCTGCTGCCTTGTTTTGTTTTGACTAGAATTGTCATTTAACACATGAAATTTTATCAAGTTCATCAATATGCTGCTGTCTGTCTTAGTGGTCTCGAGAAGTTGCATATGCAATCTTGAAGAAAGATGTTGACGTCACTATCTTTTCCTCGTTATTTTGTTTTGTGGTGCAGGTGCTTGTTTGAAGAGAGTATTATTGGCTATGGAAGCAGGTGTTGTTAATTTGTCAATTTGGCTAGGGGTTCGTTAACCTTCTTCAGATTTTGTGCGTGTGGAACGTCGTCCGTCGTCCATATCTTCATGTAGGATGTACATATGGAAGAAAGCGACAACAGAGGCTCTGAAAGAGAGGACAGAGACATCCAAGGTGAATAAGTGCCGCAGACAGGAAATTAATGGGGAGAAGAAAGTGAAACTTTTTTCTTGGTCCTACTGAAACAAAAGAAGGAAAACTAAAAAAAGGGATTGCTGATGTACATGTCCATCTTTGCTGGTGGTAGTTGCGTAAACCTGTACAGCAAGCGTTGTTTTTACCCTGTCTTTGTTCTTCGTTTCTTATGCGTTAGCTCCCATTGGTATATTTCTGGATAAGATAGTGGAATTCTTTTAAAAGGCAAAAAATGTCAGCGTTCTGGTTGTTCTTGATCTTCAAGACTTCAACGCTTTCACCCCTTGCTGCAGATAATTTTTGTGGGAGTACTACTGGGGTATTTATATGCTAGTTAACTGTCATCACAATGCCTGAATGTTGCTCGATTCTGTCTGGTATTTCACAGCAAGCAAACCGTCTCCAGTCCTCGTAAGGGGACGCAAATCTGCCGGGCTCGATTGCGGATTGGCATTGCCATGCTGGCTAGGCTAGGTGGCCATGTGAAGCATATGGCTTGTTTAGCTGTCAGCATAGAACTTGCACCGCATGCAGTTTGCTCATGTTTAGTTGTTTGAGGAGGTTTTTATGTAGATCTACACAACGTTCAATACAACATTACCTATACTTTAGATTTGCTCGTATTAGGCAAAGTAGATTTTCACAGATAGATAGGCACATAAAAATAAAATGTTTTTTCATAGCTTGACTAGAAATATGAGATCTCTAATAGAACATTAAGGTCGTAAGACAATTAAACTCCAAGACATTGCATACATTTATGTTGACTTGGGTTGTGTTGTATATAAGCAACCAATGGCTCTTATAACAACTATGGCGACCACGGTCACGCCATGAAATGAACAACAGCGTCCGTTGAACAACGGTGCACAGACACCGAGCCAGATGTGTTAATCAGATTGATGGATGTAGTCTGGGTCATTCGTGTACTCGTAAAAATTAAGGCTATTTGTGGGTTTATGGACAACCCACCTTGCATCTCTAATTAGTCTGGCCTGTGGGAATGAGGGCAACACTATCCTTCACAACAAGAATGGTGGTCAAGATAGATTTGTACTCCAGAGTGTAAACAACACATCAATGCTAGTATCTAGGGCCCACACACACTAAGGGCTCGTTTGGATGGTACCTTGACCTGGGGCCACCTGCCTAGGCATGTTGATCTAGACCCAGGCGTTGGAAATCGGCAGCCTGGGTGAGGTGTTTGGGTCCGCATGCTTTTCAGTCTTCAAAGCAAACAACCCCTAACCCCTAAGTGAGTTGTGGTGGATAGTGTAGTGTAAACAACACATCAAACTACATGATTCCTAGCCTCCTGGGTAGTGGGCTAGTGGCTACTAAGGTCTTATCTGGCTTTTGTATTCAGCTCAATCCATATGTTGATTAAGATGAACACAAGTGCAGTGAAGCATTTGTATTGATGTGAATACGAGTGTAACTAAACAAGCTCTAAGCGAGCGAGGCCGGTGTCGCGAGCAATCCATATCAAGGTTTGCAACTAAGAAAGGAGTTTGTGAATGACAATGAAAAGACAACACTAACGGAGTCTCACAATCACTCTATCTTCATATTGGCGCTTGCATAGCAGTTGGTAACCACTCCGGCTTCCATTCCTAAACCACACTTCCACACCCTCTCCCGCTCCCAACCTCTCCGCGATCCCCAACCTCACACTAACTTCACTATCACACGACGCACGGGCAGTCGAGCAGATACACCCCAAGCAGCTCCTAGCATCTAAGCCGCCTGACTCTATAAATGTTCATGTTCTCTCCTCAACTCAAACGCAAGCAAGCAGGCAAAGCTAGCTAAGCACCTCTCAGTCGCGAAGCTACCCTGCAGCCCGCGCCTAGCTACCTCCAACGACGCAGCAACCAACCATGAGCACCAGCGAGGCCGGCGCCGCCGCGACCGTGATCCCCATCGACGACGTGGCCCACCACCACGGCAAGGCCCCGGCCGTAGCCACGGCGCCTCCTCCTCCCGCTGCAGCAGCATCGTCAGTGGCGGTACCCGCAGCGGCGACGACGACGGCGCCTCGGAAGACGGGCGTCCCGTTCTTCCGGCGCGCCGACCGCGGCAGCCGGTGTGTGGCGCTCCTCGACTTCGTGCTGAGGGTCGCTGCCTTCGGGCCCGCCCTCGCCGCCGCCATCGCCACGGGCACCTCCGACGAGACGCTCTCCGTCTTCACCCAGTTCTTCCAGTTCCACGCCCGCTTCGACGACTTCCCGGCGCTCCTGTCAGTGTTATTCGCCCGCCCGTCCAGCGATCCCACTATCCCAGTTATATATCCATGCATGTCGAATTGAGCTGACGCCGCGAACGCGCTCGCGTGCTTCGATTGTTGCAGGTTCTTCATGGTGTCCAACGCGATCGCGGCAGGGTACCTGGTGCTGTCCCTCCCCTTCTCCGCCGTCATCGTCCTCCGGCCACAGGCCATCGGCTTGCGCCACCTCCTGCTCGTCTGCGACATGGTATCCGTTCTCCCGCTCCGGCACTCCGTCACCACACTGCACACACGAACATGATACGCCCACGTAGTGCACGGCGCACTAGAACCGCACGACGCTGATCAATCGCTGAGTACAAGTTCTTTCGTGGTGAGTTGCCCTGCAGATCATAGCGGCGCTGCTGACGGCCGCTGCTGCTGCGGCGGCGGCGATCGTGGACCTGGCGCACTCGGGGAACCTGCGCGCCAACTGGGTGCCCATCTGCATGCAGTTCCACGGTTTCTGCCAGCGCACCAGCGGCGCCGTCGTGGCATCCTTCCTCGCCGTGCTCGTCCTCTTATTCCTCGTCATCTTGGCCGCCTTCGCCATCAGGAAACGCTGAACTGGATGATTTCTGCCCTGATGTGCCTGCATGCGTATGTGCTGTTGCTGTGTGTTGCGTCGTGCTATGTGATTTCAGCTGTGGTATGAGATATACTCCTACTTGTGTAAGTGTACGTGAGGAGTGGCGAGTGGAGCGGAAGTGCTTGTGTACGATTCTCAGATTTATTCCCTGCAAACGCAAAGGTGGTCAGAGTGTTCTTGAAAATGTATACTCGAGTTCAGATTAGACAGATATACTATCATTCATTCAACGTTCTTCAAGTTGGTTTGTTTCACCGATTGAATGAAATTAGCTCAAAGCACCATTGTCCATATATATATATATTTTTTTTTGATTTAAAACTTTGTCCATGTTATCAGCATATTGTTTTTTTTTTGAAAAAATTAGTATATTGTTTATGATGAAAAGGAAGCGTTGTGGAAATAGAGTGCTGCGAATTTAATTAAAATGGGCTGTTTATTGGATCCGGCGGCCTGGTTAGCCGGTCCTAAATGAATGAAATCCAGCCCAGTTCACTCTTCAGTGGGGACTCGTACCAAACATTACCAAACATTAGAACCAACCAAATCAGAAATCTCTCGTCCGACAAGAGAAATCTCGCCGCTGCGCCTTATCGTCCATCCACCTTGGCCGAGGAGGAGGATGCAGGCACAGGTGGCATCGTCTTCCCGGGCCATTCGAAAATCCGACACCACCATCCTGATGCAATTCCTCTCGATCCCCACCGCCTCCTCGCCTACTCCCAGGCTCTTCAAGCCCGTGGCCTCTTCGGCCTCCTTCCGCCGCCCCTCTCCACCGACGCCTCCGGCCCCAAGACCCTCGCCGCCGCCCCCGCCGCCTCCTCCTCCCGCAAACCCCCTCGCCTCCAAGCTATGGCTGACGAGCAAGCTGTCCCCACCGCCTCCTTCGCCAGTGTCGCTCGAGATGGTGGAGGAGCCTCCGCCCCGCCGGAGCCGGAGCCGGAGCCGGAGCAGGAGGCGGCGGCGCTGCGGCAGGAGGACTTCCGGCAGAAGGGCAAGGTGTTCGTGGGGAACCTGCCGCTGTGGGCGGGGAAGCCTGAGATCACGGAGTTCTTCCGCCAGTTCGGGCCCCTGGAGAAGGTGGAGCTGGTGCGGGGCCACGACGACCCCGAGCGCAACGTCGGCTTCTGTTTCCTCTACTACGGGGGCGACGACCCGGAGACCGCCGCGGGGCGGGCCGTGGAGGTGGACGGGGTGGAGTTCCGGGGGAAGTCGCTCACCGTGAGGCTCGACGACGGGAGGAAAGGGAGGGCCAGGGCGGAGGAGCGGGCGCGCTGGGTCGAAGCTGGGGTGGCCCGGGAGGCTCGCTCACCGTGGCACAAGGGCAGGGAGGACGCGTGCCGCGAGTTCCGGAGAGTGCTGGAGTCGCGGCCCGAGAACTGGCAGGCTGTCGTCTCTGCTTTCGAGCGGATTCCCAAGGTGGTGGCTTCTCTGATTGATCACCTCAGCATTAGCATTACCCGACCTTGTTAGTTCCTGTATAATGCCATTTATGCAATTGCAAGGTGGTGTCACATGCTCAACATGCTGAGACGGGTGAAGTTTTCCTGTCTTTGGGCTGTGATCTGCAAACCTTCCTGGGATACTAGCTCTGAAGGGTTCTTTAAAGAGCAGACTGCGCCAGCAAAACATGCTTAGAATAAGCTTTGTTAGGATGCCACCGAATAGGTCATCTGCCACCTTAGTTGTAGAGTAAATTACAATGTTAATTGGTGCCTGTTTCATGTCATTTCCAATCATTAGCTGACACCAAACCTCATCTCCAACTTGATCAGACAGCTTCAATGAACAATTCCGTTCTTCTGATCCTTATTCAAGTACAAAGCCTTTCCTTAGTTACCTTTGGAAATAAGTTGCTCCACAAGGTACTCTATGTTTATATAAATAACATGTAACACATACCCCTTACAGTTTTGATATAAAATTTTTGCAATCTTGCCCTATGACTTGTTTGAGATTTGGAGCTGGTGATCATTTAATTTGTTTTTATCTGGACAATCATATTTTGATTTCAATACCGTTTTTTATTTGGCATCTGGTAGTCATGTTTTAACAACTTCCTAGGAAAGTTCCGTACCTCCTTTACTCAGGTCTCAGGGCTCCAAAGAGAACGGGGTGGGGTGGGGGTGTAGGTGCAATCATTTCTAGGAATTTATGCTTATAATATAGAATTGCCTCAGTGTTAACTTTTCTCATTTGGTGGCACTAATTATAGTCTTATTTTCTACATTGATTGTTTAGCCATCAAGGAGGGAATTTGGTCTGATGGTTGTGTATTATGCCAAGCGAGGTGATAAGCATCACGCTCGTGCAACATTTGAGAACATGAGAGCAAGAGGGATAGAGCCCAATGCGTTTGTCTTCACAAGGTAGGTGCTTTGTTACTGTTTTTAGTAGTAATTTACTAATTTATTGTTTTCTCTTCATCACAGGGTAAAATGCACCATTGCTTCCTAAACTTGCATAGCTGAGCCAACTAAATTGACTCACTGAAAAGAAAACATCATATTATACTGCTAAACTAATCTAAGTAGGTCAACAGAGGTCTGACACAGTACGTGTAGGTTATTTTTGCTTGTTATGTTTTGGAGCCCTGGTGCAAGTTCAGAGATCCACAGTGAACTTTACTCCTGGTAATGCCACCAAATGACCTGTATAAATGGTAATTTTATATGTAAAGATAAAGATTACTTATGGAAAACGATCTTGCATGATGGCATCATGGGAAGCTAACCATGTGAAGAATATAGGTAGTAACCTACCAAGAAACTTTGTACCTGGTCGCTTCTATGCTTGCTTGACTATTTGAGATAAAAAAGTTTGGCTGATAACATTATTGAGATACAGAGGGGGCTGTTCTGAAAACAGGAAGGGGGGGGGGGTATCGCCGTTATCTACTTCTAATTTACTAATATCATACAGATGTATGCATGTGAATGACTGGCAAACTAGCTCTAGCAATGTCTCTATGTACCTTGTCTCCTGCATTAAATTTAATTCATTTCATGCAGCCTTGTTCACGCTTATGCAGTTGCTAGAGATATGCGTGGGGCAATGTCATGCATTGAGGAAATGAAATCTGAAGGCCTCGAAATGACAGTTGTTACTTATAGTATCCTTATTGCAGGATATGGCAAAACTAACGATGCTCAGTGAGTATTTTCTTTTTTCACACTGCCTTAACCCAGATCTATGTGTTACTGAACATGCTTTCTTCCAGAATTTCAATATAGCTATAACTGCCCTTTCATATACGATACTGACTCTTATACACTGTTTTAGGCAACAGATCACGCGGCCTTTTCATTTCTAGCCTTTCTCATATGACCCTTGGCTTGTTGCTAATCAGTTCATCTTCTCTTGGAAGATCTGCAGACAAGTTGTTCAAAGAGGCTAAGACCAAGCTCGACAACCTAAATGGAATCATATATAGCAACATTATACATGCTCACTGGTTAGTGGTTGCTGGTTACCAGATTCATAAACATCGTAAACTTAAGAAAAAAATAATACAATTTATCTCTTAACGATTACTGCTTTATCTGTTTACTAATAAATCATGTCAGAGCACTCAATTGTATGCACTTTTGCAGCCAATCTGGGAATATGGATCGAGCTGAAGAGCTGGTCCATGAAATGGAAGAGGATGGAATTGATGCTCCTATCGATGTTTATCACAGTATGATGCATGGATATACTGTCGTCCATGATGAAAACAAATGTCTAATTGTGTTTGAAAGGCTGAAGGTATATTGGGAAGGCATCTCATAACTAATAACTAATTGTCATGTGTTCCTAAGAAATAATTGTTTTTATTTTTATTATGCTCACCTTCTTAATCTATAATGTCTTTGAGGATTTTGATCTGGGGATGGAAGGGAAATGAAGTGTTATATTTGCCAGCCTGATTCAAGTTTCTCCGACTTTGCAGCAGTGTGGCTTCAAACCATCTATAATATCTTATGGTTGCCTTATTAATCTGTATGTTAAGGTTAGTTCTGCTCTTGTCTATTCTTCTCATGTATTACAGCCCGACTAGGGCTGTAAATGAGCTGAGCTCGTCGCCTCAAGCTTGGGCTTGTTGGAGGGTTGAGCCGAGCCTCAGAACCGCTCGAGCCTAAGCCAGGCTCAAGCTTGGCCCATCATGCTAAATACGAATTGCCTTTTCTTCTACCTTTTTCCTTTTTGGTTTAAAGCCTCAAAGTAGTTGGTTTTGATGTCCTGCTTTCCAGTTCCTCTTTGTTTTTTATTATTTATTACTAATGCTTGGCAACTCCAGTGGAAGCATGGTCAATGAAATATAAGATACTTGAAGTGCAGCTTTGATTTAAACTTTGTGGAAATAAAATGGCCTGATTAATCATTTGAACTTGAGGCCTTACATTATTTGTATATCCCTGCACTTGTTTGAATGGAAAATAGTCGCTAATGCCAGTTTGAACATTCCTTTTACAGATTGGGAAGGCTCCGAAAGCCTTAGCTATTAGCAAAGAAATGGAATCACATGGCATCAAACATAATAACAAAACTTACTCTATGCTGATCAATGGATTTATCCATCTGCATGACTTTGCAAATGCTTTTAGCATTTTCGAGGACATGATAAAATCAGGTTTGCAGCCTGATCGTGCCGTATACAATTTGCTGGTTGAAGCATTTTGTAAGATGGGAAATATGGATCGAGCTCTTCGCATATTTGAAAGAATGCAGAAGGAACGAATGCAACCATCAAATAGAACATTCAGGCCTATCATAGAAGGATTTGCAGTTGCTGGAGATATGAAAAGGGCTCTCGATACCCTTGACCTAATGCGGCGAAGTGGTTGTGCTCCTAATGTAATGACTTACAATGCTCTCATCCATGGGCTAATTAGAAAGCACCAGGTAATTCTCAAATACATATTATATTCTTCACACTGAGAACCATGTAAGCTTTAGCCTCTTCTTTTTGTGTACCTGTGTATGTGTGCATGTTTGCAGGTTGAAAGAGCTGTTTCTGTACTTGACAAGATGTCTTTTGCTGGCATTGCACCAAATGAGCATACATACACAATCATTATGAGAGGCTATGCTGCTAGTGGAGATATTGGGAAGGCTTTTGAGTATTTCACCAAAATCAAAGAGAGTGGCCTAAAGCTCGATGTGTACATTTATGAAACATTGTTGAGAGCCTGTTGCAAATCAGGAAGGATGCAAAGTGCCTTAGCAGTTACAAGAGAGATGAGCTTTCAGAAGATACCAAGGAATACATTTATATATAATATTTTGATTGATGGGTAGGTACTATATAAACATAGTTAATGCCAGTTAATGTTATTTCTATCTGTCCTATTGGGTTTAAATTTGTTTATTTATTCGCTGCTTACGTAACAAGAAGCTTTTACAATTTGATCCTTTTAAAGATCTTTTTAGGAAAACCTCTGGGGAAACAATTTTAGAAAATGGACTCTTTTGCGTGTCCATGACATTGACACCATGGCAGCTGCCACATATGATATTCTTTTGTTGGACTTGCAGGCTCTTAAGTGGTACTACCTTAGTACCAAGTGTCACAGCACCATGCAAAACGTTCCATTTTCATAAATTATTACTTTATAGGCCCATTTGTGAAAATGTTATATATAAGGACCAAATTATTATTTTTTACCTCAGTAATTCAGACACTTGCTTTCATTTTGATGTCAATTTATGGTTTATTTGAGCCATGCTATAATCTAAAATAGTTTATCAAATCCCTGATAAGAGTATTGCATAATCTAAAATACTGTGTCATTACTTTCTTTCATGTAGTTGGGCTCACAGAGGAGATGTCTGGGAGGCAGCAGATTTGATGAAACAAATGAAAGAGGATGGAATCCCTCCTAACATCCATACATTTACCTCCTACATAAATGCATGCTGCAAAGCAGGAGACATGCAGGTGTGTGCATTTTTCATCAAAATATTTGATTACTAGTTTGTGGTGGCACAGTTGGACATAGCCTGATAGTAATAGTACAGCGCCATGAGATAAACATTAGTGAAATTTTTTTAAGGTAGCCGAGCACAATGTTTATAATGTCCATTATTTACACAATGTACCTTTGCACACTGGCTTCATCTTATTCTCATTGGAAAAATATGAATGGAGAAGTAATCCTGGCCTTTGTTGCACACTATCACTAATTTCTTGTTTGAACTATTTATTGTAGAGAGCGGAAAATGTGATTCAAGAAATGGCAGATGTTGGATTGAAACCGAATGTCAAGACGTTTACCACATTGATTAAAGGTTGGGCTAGAGTGTCACTGCCAGATAGAGCGTTGAAATGCTTTGAGGAGATGAAATTGGCTGGGCTTATGCCTGATGAAGCTGCTTATCATTGCTTGGTGACCTCACTTCTCTCAAGGGCAACTGTGATGGAGGGAAGCACCTACACGGGAATCTTAAGTGTCTGTAGGGAAATGTTTGAGAATGATTTGACTGTTGACATGCGCACTGCTGTTCACTGGTCAAAATGGCTTCACAAGATTGAGAGGACGGGTGGTGCGCTAACAGAAGCACTTCAGCGAATATTTCCACCTGATTGGAACTCATCAGAAAATTTGGAGGCTTCGAGTTCTGTAAGTGACGGAGATTCTGAATCTTGCAGTGACTCAGAGTTTAGTGATAATGATGAGGATCATGATGATGACTTGTGACATAATATCAAGACAGTTTTAACCTTTCCCTGATCCCTCACTACTGCTTCAGTGCCAGAGTTAAACTATCAAGGTATGCTGCGCACATGTGTTCTTAATATATATCAACTTTGTTGACATCTTTTTAGAAGTATACTATTCCTATCATTAATGAGTTGACCGTAAGTTCTGTAACAATCTTTTTAGAAGTATAGTCTGCATATAATGATCACCAATTGGCAGTTTGAGTTCTCATAATTTGATTCCAAGCGACATCTAAAACAATTTTTTTTTGTTCAAATGGACAGTGTTTCTGATGAAACTTTACGAGGAGGGTTTGGAATCTTATTGTGTTTTTAAACCTGAGCTGTCTGTCCTCTGCGGTGTTTCAAGAGTCGCAGACCGGCAGTAACAGTTCTGCTGGAGCTGAAGACACAGGCTGTCAATGCAACAAACGAAGGTCCACTTATGTATGTTGCTGTACAGATCAGTGACTCGTAGTACAGGTAGGTAAATATTATCTATATTCTGAGATATTGACAAGTTCATTTCTCATCATTGCTCTATTTCTAGTGCAATCTAACTAATAAGTTAAATTCAGTTTTGTATAATTGGAGAAATGCTGGTGAAGTTATGCTTTTACTTAGTTTATTTCCCATGTGTACCAGGCAGGGCTTTTGTACAATGACTCGGTACAATATGTTACAAAAGGCAATTCTTGGCTTCCTTTGTATTGTTCTGTACCAAATGTACCTTCCGTGATAAGAAATTAAGGTCTCTGCATTCATTTCATATTACAACATTAGTTGGACCTACTGGAGTAGTAGAGTGTTTGTAGCCTTGTAATAGGTTGAATACCACCTCTGCAGCTCTGTCATCGGCATTCAGCGAGCATTCCCAGCACATGACTCGTAATTGCATTTAGCCAGGACAGTACTCCTACATTATAATCATATATTTTTAAGTATATAAAGAGCTTTGTAACCTCTTTTCTTCCTTTTGTGAGCTATGAACTAATGACCTGAATTGAATGCTGTAAAATATAGCTGATGATTTTAAACATGGTAAAACAGGAATACAAGCATGATTTTAGACCAACTTGCTAGATAATGTGTGTGGATCTTTACCTTTGTTCTGATGATTTTACGCATGGTAAAATAGGAGTTTAGACTTTAGATTGGTCCCTTCTGCTTTATTGCAGTCCGTGCTGATTGTGGGGAATTCCCTCTTTGAAACTGAAGTACAACTCCAATCAAGTCATACATGATGACTGTTTTCTCATTTAAGGTTTGGCATCTTCCAGTACAGCAGCTTCAATCAGTGTGAGCTTGGAATTGCTCGCCCCTGTCCAAGCTGAGAGCTTTTACTATCCGGGACACTTGAATGCCTGCCTGCACAAGACGGCATTATATTTCTTGAGGCTGGTGTGTGTTTGTGCGTTTGTGTGTGATATATGAGCTGCTAATCTTAGCTGTCCGGTATCTTTCGTTGAATCAAAAGTGGCCTCCCACCTTCGAGTCTTGCCACAAGATAAAACAGTGCTTCATTTATGCCACAAGTTATTATTTATTATTTGCTTTGCTTAGCTGCATTGCCCTTCTGAATTTATACACACTGTAAATTCGTGATTGCAGCTGCAGTGTGATAGTACGCGACTTAGAATGTTCTTTCCATAATATAAACCTTTATTGTATTATGTGTATATGTGTTTCCCTTTGTTCTTGTGGAAATTCCATTCGCGTTTTCCTTTCCTGGGGAGAAAATGCCATATGCATTTTCTTAGAAATATTTTGCAGTGCGGTGGCTGGTTTGTGGCAATAACCTGCAGAGCACAGTGTTTGCTTGGAGTTGGATGCTGAAGTATAAAGGTGGAAAAGTTAGGTCCAGTGCTAAGTTCCTGGGTGTTCTAACGACAAAAGCCGTTGGCCGGAAGATGGAAAGGGGAAAGATGTTTGATCCTTATTTTTCTCTTACAGTATATTGGCAATGTCATTTACTGTAAAATCAAAACTTTAAAATGTATATTGAATATGAATTTATTGCTGCAACTTTTCCATACTACACTAATAAGGATGCATATGTTTGTACTTTGAATTATTGTTGTCAAGACGTAAAGTTCGATTTTTTTATTGCTGCAACTTTTCCATGCTACACTATGGATACATATGCTTGTACTTTGAATTATTGTTGTCAAGATGTAAAGTTCAATTTTTTTCTTCTTCCAAATCAGAACAGACCATGGATTGATGGATCGAAGGAGTGCGTTGCTAGGAGAATGCAAACCATGCACAGTTCAATTCAGTTGAATACCGCTACAACTTCTGACGACTGGTCTATATGGTTGTTGGAAGGCATTTTGAAATAGATGGTAGCATGTGTTCACCAAGCAAGGAAAGGATACAAGCAAATGGAGCTCAAGAAGACATGGCCCTTCCATTTATTGGGATACAAGCAAGAGTTCTAGTGTGAACTCTCAATCTCTCTTTGATTTCTCCCTAAATCCCTGATCTCGCTTGGTTTATATGAAGGAATCCACCCCAATCTCAAGTGGGCTCTCCAACTAATCAAGCCATTCATCTTGGTGGACCCTCTCTTATGTATGTGGGAACTCCATGAGAGGTGAGCTTGAACTTGAAGAAGCTCAAGGCTCCAGGTCACCTTGGGTAAGCCTTTCTCGTTGTTTGAATCTTAGCACGGGACTCGAACACATTCAGAGGTGCGGGTATATATATCGCGTTGGATCGGTATAGTAGTTTAGTTAGTTTATAAATGGCTGGGTATGTAACGCTTGGCTAGCTAGACGACCTAGACGTTCCCGGTGACGGGGCAGCCGGAGGCGCAGATCATGGCGTCGTTGGTGCACTTGAGGAGGCAGACGGGCAGCTCCACGGGGTCCAGGTCGATCAGCGGCTGGTAGCAGTCCAGCATGCAGGAGGTCACCCGGGACCCGCAGATGGTGACGCACTGCGTCAGCCCGGCCACAGAGGACCGCCGGTGGCCGCGGTGGTGGTGGTGGTGGTGGCCGTCATGGTCTGCGTTCACCGCCGCGACCACGAGCGCCAGCAGCAGAAGCATCGCCGCGACGACAGCCTTCATGATGCACGCACCGACGCACGTACCTTCTTCGGATCGGAGTTGTCGATCGACCTCTGATCGAAGAGTGAAGACGAAGGTGCAGATATTGTATCGAGAGATCGATGCTAGCTGCGCTGCGTTGCGTTGGGTTGGGATTTGCATCTGTATATATACACGCGACGCGAGGAGGACCTAGCTAGCCCAGCAGATCGAGTTGGCGTTGCCTGGGGGGAACGTGCACAGTGATGCATGCGAGCTGTGCATGAGATATGTGTGACGAGTGAAGTGGACGTCGTGCTCACTTGCCGCAAGCAGCAACATCTGTGTGAGCGGAACAGAAAGTAACAGGCCTGCTGCGAGCTCATCACACATGCACGTACCTCTGGTGACCTGCACGCACCGTGTCCGCTTCTTCGTTCGTATTGCATCGGTCGATCGGGTTTCGACAGTGTGTCACAGTCAGAAGTGACCTGACCTCGCAACCGGCGTCGCCGCCGTTCCCGTAGAACATGGAGTAGGGCGGCCTCGGCCTCGTCGTCCTCTGGTTTTTTTAGTATGGAAATAATTTGAATATAAATTCAATGGGCCATGTTCGGGCCAAGAAGTATTTCCTGAGTCCATATTTCACTATGCTGTCCAAACCAAGCGCTGCAGGCCGGACCGGGCCTTGGGCCTAAAACACTTATGTCAACCGTCAACCACGACTTCCGACACCGGTATACCCGGCTTCGGCTGCAAAATGTATCCGTTGGCCCTCTTCCTCCTCCGGCCTCCCATCTCCGAGATTTGAAACCGCCTGACCCGCCGCCGCTTCACCCCCCCTGTACCGCCATGCCCTCCTCCTCCGCCGCCGCCATGGCCAGGCCATCATCCCGTCCATCCTCCTCCTGCTCCGCCTCCAAGCCCCGGAAGCCCTCCCCGTCCCCTTCCCCATCCCCGGCGACTGCGCCCAAGCACAAGACCGTTGGTTCGAGCCGCCGCCGCAGCCCGCTATCCGATCTCAACTCCAGGGACGCCTCCGCCGCGCGCGAGCGCCCCGGGTGCTTCGGCTTCCTCCTCCCCTCCGCCGCCGCCTCCTCCGGGTCCAGGTCCAGGGCCAGGTCCGCGTCCACCCCGCGGACCCCTAAGCGCCCCGACTCCAAGCCCAGGGGGCCGGACCAGCTCCCGGATAAGGAATCGAGGACCAGGGCGCAGAGATGCGCCGGGCAAGAGCCGAGGATGGGGGGCAGGAGCCGATCGGTACGCGGATCAACAAGATCGGACCGGCCGCCGGCAAGAAGCAGTGGCCGGCGAAGGACGAGCAGCTGGATCAGTTCCAGGCCTTGACGCCGGAGAAGAAAGCGGATTCCGAGGCCACGCTGTCTACCGGCGCGACGCCGCCGGTCCACGCGTCGATCTCGCCCGAGGTGGCCGCGGCGTGCGGGTCCGCGACGCCCGCGTGCTTCGCGGCGGGCCACCACGTCGTCCCCGGCGTCGGGGACCGTCGCAAATGCCGGCCGCGGGGCATCCTGGCGATCGCGGGGGAGGGATTGACCAGCCAGGACCTCGACGAGGAGCCGTCCCGCGCGTCCATCCACTGGCTGTCCTCGCCGTCGGGGGCGGAGGCCTGGACGTCCTCGACGAAATGCGGCAACGAGGAGGCGTCTGTGAACTGGTTGGCGTCCCCGCACGACGAAGGCGGGGTGGACTTGCTCGAAGACGAGATCTTCGTGCCCAGATGCTCCTTGGAGGACGCGTTCTGGCGGTTCTCCCCGGACTGCACGGGGCTGTTGGGCTCACCGCTGCTCAGCGGTCTGCTGGACTTCGGCACTCCAGCGTCAGAAATGTCCGGGGTGACTTCGTCGTCAGGGTTTCTCTCCCTGCAAAAGACACCAAGCAGTGGCGATAGCATTAGTCCCTTCTCGCTTATTGTCAAGAGGGCATCGCAGTCCTCTTCCAGATTTCGGACTTTGTGTGCCCAGCAGGGACTGGGCAACAGCTACCGGTATGATTCGGCGGCGGATCCGACACCAATTTCTGGTGAGTCATGGCGTGAAAGTGTCGGCAATGGCACACGGTCAGGGTTGACAAGGACAGGCAGTCGTCCCCTGAAGATGATGGATCCAGTGCTGGAATGTCTTGAAATGATGAGTTTGTCCCCAAGGCCTGGGGACGATGACTATGGTGGAAATGGCACACCGCCTGCACCATTGCCTGAGCTTAGCTTCCAGTTTGCAGGAGCTCCGACGCCTCTGGAATCCATAGACTTGACCACTTTTAAAAGGTCTCCTCGTGACATAGAATTGAAGGCAGAGACAAGTTTCCAAAAATCGGTCATGGCAGACACTCGGATCTCTTGGCGAGAGGGGCTTGTCAGCAGAATGTTTGATATTGGTGATTTGGATTGCTGCAAATGGCTATCTGATGATGAAGATTCACCAGTGCTTTCGTTCACTGAAGAGGCTTTGGCAGATGGTACCAATTCTCAGCCAGGTAATTGTTGCCTGCATGAGAGTGGCGACCAACAGGAAGCATGTGGCTTTGGCTCTGTTGAGTTCAGTTGTATTGGTGATGAACTGAACAATAATAGCATCAAGACATCTCCAAATCATGTTTCAGTTGCAGAGTCCATGAATGCAGAAGGATTCGAGCTTGTCACATCGGATGACTCTGATTGGACTCTCTTCTACAAGAATTACTTGTTTGAATCATGAGATGTCTGAACTGCAGCGGGTTTCTTTGCTCAGATGTTGTGTACCAATTGTACTACTAGAACCATCGCAAACACGCACATTTGTGTTTGCTACATCCTTGTACTTTTTTCAGCATTTGAAGTTTCCTTCTACATTCTTTGACAGCTCATGTAAATCATGTTGGTACATAGATTTGTTTCTGGAATAACCACTTTTGGCCCCTTTTAATCCACTGATAATAATTCAGAGAATATATCGCATAGTTTTTTATTTTTCAGTCAATAGACACTGTAAACTTTTGCAGCCAATCTGGGAATATATACCGAGCTCATGAAATGGAAGATGACGGCATTGATCTGGTAATAATTGTGTTTGAAAGGCTGAAGGTACAGTGGGAAGGCATCTCATGACTAATTGACATGTGTTCCTAACAAAGAATTGCCAGTCTGATTAAAGTTTTTCTCACTTTGCATGAGTGAGGCTTCTTAATCTGTATGTCAAGGTTAGTCCTGGTCTTGTGTATTTTTCTCATGTATTGCAGCTGACTGGGGCTGTAAATTGTTAGCTAATCTACTGCCACCTTGTGAGAACACAGCAGAGTAAGGTGGCGCCGACTTAGCTACGTGCTGTGTGTGAACACAGCAAGGGAAGGCGGCGCCGACTTTGCCCCCTTTTGTGATCTGAAGAGTCATGCGCAGATCTGGTACCATGACGGCTCACTGCTGACAGTCAGAGAACAGTGCAGTGGCGGCCCGCAGAGTCACCCCTATCAGTTATCTAGTTCTTTGTGTCGGTATGGGCGCACGCACATGGACTAGATAGTTAGAGTTGTATAAATAGACATGTATGGCAACTCGAAAAGAGAGCTCAGATTTGCCATCACACAGACAGGGCTTCGGCCAACGCTGTTGTCTTGTATTGTGCGTGCTTGCTCTGTTCTCCCTTCCTCTTCTAGCTCGATCCGTAGTGTGTGGGTACGAACAACGCCTGTACGTGGTCTGCACGGCTAGTGGGTGCTCGGCAACACTAGCGCGTGCTCGGCGAGACCGACAAGTGCTTCACTCGCCTAAGCCGGTGGTGGGCAAGATCGGCTGGAGTGGTTCACTGTCGTGAGCCAGTGATCCTGTGAGACCAACGGAGTGGTCTGGAGGCTATCTCGGTGGTCTGGAGGCTATCAGGTAGTGGTCTGGAGGCCTTAGTCGATGGTCTGGAGGCTATCTGTAGTGGTCTGGAGATCATCTCGGTGGTCGGGAGGCTAACTGTGGGCCAACAAGTGGTATCAGAGCCGTACAAGCGCCGTCGTCATTCTAACCGATGGCGATGACAAGTGGTATCGGAGCCGGGCGATGGCGGTGTGGGCTTCGTCGTGGCTACCCAGCCACTACTGAGGTAGTTGTTCGACGGTCGCGGAGGTCACGGCACCACTTGGCCGACGACGACTCGCACTAACTATGGAGAGTGGTCGGTGACCATGAAGGTCAAGCTTCGAGCCCGTCGGCTCGGGAATGCCGCTGACAAGGGCACCGACGTGGAAGAAGACGACATGTCGGCGATGGAGGCTATCCTCGCTGCTTTGTCTGCAGCGAGTCTGAGGGAACCGTTGGGGACGAAGAGCTCGCTAAGGAGGCGTGGGAGGCCATTGCGGCGATCTTGGCGTCGGTTCCGACCGCGCAAAAGAAGGCAACGGCCCAGCTTCAAGGCGAGTATCGCAAAAACCTCAAGTTCAAGGATGGTGAAACGGTGGAGGACTTCTCCCTCCGCTGCGAGACGCTCATCGACAAGTCAAGAGCCACGGTGTCACCATTGACGAAGAGGAGGCGGTCTCCAAGTTCCTCTACTCTGTGCCGGTAAAGTACATCCAGATCGCTCTATCCATAGAGACAATGCTGGACTTGTCCACCCTCACCATCGAGGATGTGGCAGGCCGTCTACGGGCGGTGGACGAGCGCCTGGAGTAGGCGACAACAACGAAGGACAGCAGGAAACTCCTGCTGACGGAAGAGGAGTGGGCTGCTCGACGAAACTCCGGGAAGGCAGCCTCCTCCAGTCGCGGTGGCAACGGCAAACATCACGGCAGGGCTTCTTCGGTGAAGAAGCAAATCGACTCCAACGCCTGTCGGTGTTGCGGGAAGATGGACCATTGGGCACGGGAGTGCCCAAATCGCAAGAAGGAAAAGAAGGCTCAGACTCACCTGGCGAAAGCCGATGATGAGGATGAGCCTACTATCCTTATGGCGACGTTCTATGCACTGCACGACGTCGAGACCATGGAGAGGGAAGAGGCGACGACGGTGGAAGGATCTAACAAGGCCCTGAAGACCGTCAACCTCGACGAACCACGAGCCCAAGTCCATCTTGGGCATGTGGGCGTCGACCAGGTGCAGCGGTGGTATCTGGACTCTGGTGCCAGTAACCACATGACGGGCTCCAAGAACTCCTTCTCCGAACTCGACGGCGATGTTACCGGTACGGTGAAGTTTGGTGATGGCTCAAGGGTGGCTATCCAAGGGCGCAGCACCATCATCTTCAGATGCCAGAATGGGGAGCACCGCGCGCTAACGGATGTATACTACATCCCGCAGCTATGTTCCAGCATCATCAGCATTGGTCAGCTGGATGAGCGCGGTAGCGAGGTTCTGATCAAGGACGGCGTTCTAAGGATTAGAGATCGAGAGCAGCGACTTCTCGCCAAGGTGAAGAGGTCCCTAAACCGGTTGTACCTGCTCGACCTGAAGGTAGAGCAGCCGGTTTGCCTGGCGGCAAGGCACTCCAGGAACCATGGATGTGGCATGCCCGGTTCGGACATCTCAACCGACGCCGCTTGGTCGGTGGGGAAGATGGTCCGAGGGCTACCCACATCAAACACGGAGGCGAAGCCGTGTGACAAATACTGGCCGGAGCGAAGCGAGAGGCTACCTTTCCCAAAGGCGGCCAAGTATCACGCGAAGGAAGCTCTCGAGCTAGTTCACGACGACCTCTGCGGGCGATCACGCTGCTACATGCGGTGGTCGGCGGTACTTCCTCCTACTGTGGGCGATTGCGATCGCTACATGTGGTTGCAACTCCTGACGAAGCAAGGACGAAGCGGCGTGGCGATCAAGAAGTTCAAGACGCAGCTGCGAGGCCGAGAGCGGCAAGAAGCTCAATCTACCGAGGACCGATCGGGTGGCGAATTCACTTGGTGGAGTTTGCTACGTCTTGCGTGGATCAAGGTGTGGGGCAACATCACACCGCGCCCGCATTTCGCCACAAATGAATGGTGTGGTGGAGCGACGGAACCAGAACGATGGTCGGCATGGCCCGATCCATGATGAAGGCCAAAGGGATGCCGGCAAAGTTCTGGGGAGAGGCGGTGACCACGGCGATGTTCATCCTCAACCGCGCTCCAACCAAAGCTCTAACGGGCAAGATGCCGTTCGAAGCTTGGTACGGGAGCAAGCCGAACGTGTCATTCCTCTGGACATTCGGTTGCATCGACCACGTCAGGAAGACGAAATCGAACCTCACCAAGCTGGAGGACAGGAGCACACCCATGGTGTTCCTGGGCTACGCGGAGGGTACCAAGGCGTACCGACTCTATGACCCACGCGGAGACAAGGTGACTGTCTCCCGCGACGTTGTGTTCAACGAGGAGGCAGCTTGGGACTGGCACAGTCTGAGCACGGGGGAAGCGGGAGCATTCACCAACACCTTCGTCGTCGAGCACTTGGTCATCCACGGCAGTGGAGACGCTGCGGAACAGGTGCCACGCACTCTGAGAGGAGCGCCGAGCACTCCGGCGGTAGAGTCGAAACACTTCGGGGCGATGTCGAGCACTTCAGAGGGATGCCGAGCACTCCGGGAAGAGTGTCGAGCACTTCGGAAGGATGCCGAGCACGCTAGGAGTGGAGCCAGTGGTTCTCTGATGGCGGCGACCACTTCAGGCAGTCTTGAGCACTCCGTGGCGGAGCCAAGACGTCTTCTTCGTGGTTCCACCACTCCAAGATCGAGAGTGGGCACTCCTACGGTGTGGCGAACACTGCAGGAGTTATGACGAGCAATCCGTAAGCGATGAAAGCACTTGGGTGCTATCACGAGGCACTCCGGCGGAAGAAGGAACTCCACACCCCGATCTAGTTCGCCTCACCTCCAAGTGACATCACCGAGTTCGTGGGCGCCTACCACGAAGGTGAGGAGTTGAGGTTCCGTAGGCTGAACGACATCGTCGGCGGCATAGGTCCCTCAGGTATGGTGGGTAGGCTGCTCAACGACGCAAACCTCGCTACTCGTCGGTCTGGAGAGAACCACCCACGTTCGCGCTAGCCGAAAGCGTGATGGAAATCGCGCGACGGCAATGCTTTGGAGGAGATGAAGGCGATCGAGGAAAGCGAGACTTGGCAACTCGTCGATCCACCCCCGTGATGCCGTCCGATCAGCTGAAGTGGGTATACAAAGTCAAAAGGGACGAGCTCGGCACCATTGTCAAGTACAAAGCGCGCGCCTCGTCGCTTCGAGGCTTTGTCCAGCGCGAGGGCATTGACTTCGAGGAGGTCTTTGCACTAGTAGCGCGCGCATGGAGTCGGTCCGTTTGCTACTTGCTTTGGTGGCGACAAAAGGATCGGCGTCCATCACATGGACGTTAAATCGGCCTTCCTCAACGGCGGTGGCGGAAAACGGTCTTCGTCGGGCAACCTCCGTGGTTCATTTGTCAAGGGAGAGGAGCACGGGTGCTCCGATCACATAAAGCGCTCTGGGCCGAGGCAAGCCCTCGAGCATGGAACGCCAAGCTTGACACCACGCTGGGCGAGCTTGGGTTTCGAGGTGCGCCAATCGAGCACGCGCTCTACACGCGACGATAGGGGAAGGAAGAACTCATGGTCGGAGTGTATGTAGATGACTTAATCATCACCGGCGTGCGCACGGAGGATATCAACAGCTTCAAGCGAGAGATGGCATCTCGTTTCCGAATGAGCGATCTCGGCGCTCTCTCCTACTACCTCGGCATCGAGGTGAGACAGGGGAAGGAGGAACTCACGCTCGGG